TGGTGCGGGGACCCCACCAGCACCGGGAAGGGCCTGTGCATGGAGGGCTCCTACAGGGGCCCCATGAAGAGACCGTCCAAACAGGGTCAACAGGGTCAGACCACGGACATGAACCTGGAGCCCGGACTCTGCCCCAAAGACAAAGGCTTCGAGTGGGCCTTCATCAACTGCCCCGGTGAGAACACTTCTGATTGGCTGATTTGGTGATGGGGAAATGGGTCAGCCAATCCACTCTACATTATTACAACTGTTATTATTATTATTATCTTACATCTGTAATTGACTTTTTTGCTGAATACCAATGTCATACAAGTCGTATATTTATTTGTCAAACCAATAAGAGGCTGTTCCGTGGCCACACTGGGTCAATGTCACTGTTACAGGATTATAAAGAGACACCTCTGTTTGACTTTGGGACGATCTGTCGAGTCTGAAACCACCCCATGTTTGACTTTGTTTGTTTCTGTCTCTCTCCTCCCTCCTCCTCTTTCTCTCCTCCCCTCTCTCTCCCTCCCCCTCCCCCCCTCCTTCCCCTTTTTCTCTCTCTCTCTCTCTGTCTCCCCTCTCTCCCCCCCTCTCTCCCACCCTCTCCCTCCCACTCCCCCCCTCCTTCCCCTTTTTCTCTCCCTCTGTCCCCTCTCTCCCCTCTCTCTCCCCCCCTCTCTCTCCTCTCTCCCCATCTCTCTCTCCCCTCTCCCCCCCTCTCTCCCCCCTCTCTCTCCCCCTCTCCTCCTCTCCTCTCCTCTACTCCCCCCTCTCTCTCCCCTCGCTCCTCTCTCCTCTCTCCCTCTCTCTCCCCTCTCCTCCTCTCCTCTCCTCTCTCCCCCCTCTCTCTCCCCCTCTCCTCTCTCCTCTCTCCCTCTCTCTCCCCCTCTCCTCCTCTCCTCTCTCCCCCTCTCTCTCCCCCTCTCTCTCCTCCTCTCCCCCCTCTCTCCCTCTCTCTCCCCCTCTCTCCCTCTCTCTCCCCCTCTCCTCCTCTCCTCCTCTCCTCTCTTCCCCCTCTCTCCCTCTCTCTCCCCCTCTCCTCCTCTCTCTCTCCCCCCCCTCTCCTCCTCTCTCTCTCCCCCCCCCTCTCTCCCCTCTCTCTCCCCCCCTCTCTCTCCCTCTCTCTCCCCCTCTCCTCCTCTTCTCTCTCCCCCTCTCTCTCCCCCTCTCCTCCTCTCCTCTCTCCCCCTCTCCTCCTCTCCTCTCTCCCCCTCTCTCTCCCCCTCTCCTCTCTCCCCCTCTCCTCCTCTCCTCTCTCCCCCTCTCCTCCTCTCCTCTCTCCCCCCCCTCTCTCTCCCCCTCTCTCCCCCTCTCCTCCTCTCCTCTCCCCCCTCTCTCCCCCTGCAGCCTGCCAGTGTAACGGCCACAGCACGTGTGTGAACGTCAGTGTGTGTGAGCAGTGCCGGAACCTGACCACGGGCCCCCACTGTCAGACCTGTATGCCCGGTTTCCATGGCGACCCCACCAACGGAGGAAAGTGCCAAGGTGAATCCATCACGTTACCGTCCGCAACACACTCCGCTCTCTACTGTCTTCCTTCATCGTCTCAAATGGCCATAACTCTGCCGTAGAGAACTGTAGTGTTGTTTTATGGCCGCTTCCCGCCGTCTCCAGCAGATGGCACTGTTGAGTCTGACTTTGAGCGGTGTCATTTAGAGACGCACGTTTGAAGGATGGCACCACTGCTCCATATGTCGGTGTCATAAAGAGTAAAAGAACTACACTTTTCAAACTAAACTTACACTATCGACTCAGAACTAAACTCACAACTTTCTCTGTCAAAGTTAAAACTGAGAAATGCAGCAACGAAGGTCAAATCTGAAGATGTTTGGAGGAATCAAAATCTGTCTCATGGTCAGAAATATATCACTCTCTCTGTGTGTCTGTCTGTCTCTCCTGTCTCTCTCTCTCTCTGCTTCTCTCTCTCTCTCTCTCTCTCTGCTTCTCTCTCTCTCTCTCTCTGTCTCTCTCTCTCTCTCGCTCTGTCTCGCTCTCCCCGTCTCTCTGTCTCTCTCTCTCTCTATCTCTCTGTGTCTCTCTGTCTCTGCTCTCTCTCTCTCTCTCTCTCTCTCTCTCTCTCTCTCTCTCCCTGTCTCTCTCTCTGTCTCTCTGTCTCTCTCTCGCTCTCTGTCTCTGTCTCTCTTTCTCTCTCTCTCTCTCTCTCTCGCTCTCTCGCTCTCTCTCCTTCTCTCTCCCCCTCTCTCTCTCGCTCTCTCTCTCTCTCTCTCTCTCTCTTGCTCTCTCGCGCTCTCTCTGTCTCCTCTCTCTCGCTCTGTCTCGCTCTCCCCGTCTCTCTGTCTCTGTCTCTCTCGCTCTCTCTTCGCTCTCCCTCCCCATCTCTGTCTCTCTCTCTCTCTCTCTCTCTCGCTCTCTCTCGCTCTCTCGCTCTCTCTCCCCATCTCTGTCTCTCTCGCTCTGTCTCTCTCGCTCTCTCGCTCTCTCTCCTTCTCTCTCCCTCTCTCTCTCTCTCTGTCTCTCTCTCTCTCTCTCTCTCTCTCTCTGCTTCTCTCTGTCTCTCTCCCCCTCTCTCTCTCCCCTCTCTCTCTCTGCTTCTCTCTCCCCCTCTCACTCTCTCTCTCTGCTTCTCTCTCTCTCCCCCCCCTCTCTCTCTCTCTCTCTCCCCCCCTCTCTCTCTCTCTCTCTCCTCCCCCTCTCTCTCTCTCTCTCCCCCTCTCTCTCTCCGTCTCTCTCTCTGCTTCTCTCTCTCTGCTTCTCTCTCTCTGCTTCTCTCTCTCTGCTTCTCTCTCTCTCTCTCTCTCTCTCTCTCTCTGTCTCTCTCTCTCTCTCTCTCTGTGTCTCTCTCTCTCTCTCTCTCTCTGCTTCTCTCTCCCCCTCTCTCTCTCTCTCTCTGCTTCTCTCTCTGCTTCTCTCTCCCCCTCTCTCTGCTTCTCTCTCTCTGCTTCTCTCTCCCCCTCTCTCTCTCTCTCTCTGCTTCTCTCTCTCTGCTTCTCTCTCCCCCTCTCTCTCTCTCTCTCTGCTTCTCTCTCTCTGCTTCTCTCTCCCCCTCTCTCTCTGTCTCTCTCTCCTGTCTCTCTCTCCCCCTCTCTCTCTGTCTCTCTCTCCTGTCTCTCTCTCCCCCTCTCTCTCTGTCTCTCTCTCTGCTTCTCTCCCCCCCCCCCCCCTCTCCCTCTCTCTCTCTCTCTCCTGGTCAGATATATAACTGTGTGTATTAGTAGATATTGTGACAGAGTGGTATAGACTTAAACGACTCCATGGAATCAGATTTATTATGTCCCGCCTTCTGAATAAATTACTGTGAGTGACAGCGAGCCATTATTCATAGATCATTGTGTTTGTGTAGAAGGAAAACGACGGTGTGTGATCTGAATGTAACGCACACGCCGCCGAAGCGTGTGCATTTTGTAACGCACAGTCAAATATTACAGGTTTACATGTTAATCCCATAAATGTCTCAGCACGGCTCGGTATGGAATTAATGTGAGATCAGTCTGAGGCTAACCCACTTCAGCATTACTGAGAAGTTACATCCTGGACACACACAGACACACACGCACAGACACACACAGAGACGCACAGACACACACACACACACACACACACACACACACACACACACACACACACACACACACACACACAGAGATCAGGTTGCCTCCTAATGTCTTTAGCCCAAAGCGTGAGTTGAAACCACACACTGTAGATCTGAGTTTACTGTCGCAGCAGGTCGTGATTTAAAGCTGGCGTCTGTAACTTTTCTGTTTCATAAACTGGACTCTGTTTTAACCTGAAGATTTGAGGAAATGTGTGGAGTCATCTGTGCTGGTGCTCAGTGTAGAACCTGCAGCCACATGGTCCTCTCTGGAACTGGTTTGAGACCTGGTCTAGAAGTGTCTAACAATAACAACAGTCCTTCAGGTCACAGCAGCAGAGGTGGATCTTGGACTCGAGTCGTTTCCAGAACATTCTAAAGTAACATGTCTTCCATAAGCTGTGGACATGTGACCGAGCTCTGGCCAAAGCTCTGCTAAAAGCTGCAGTGAAATATTCCTTTAAAAAGAGACAGAAAAGTCCTGGATAATGTTTATGTCTGAGGCGCTGGAGGGAGCGCTCCGTGACCTCAGAGTGAACCCTCTGCACTGTTTAAAACTCACTGAACTGAAAACAAAGGTCACATGTTCTTCTGCCTAAACCCTTCTCTCAGCGTTCTCCTGGAGTTCACTCAGTCCTGGTGCACGGCCCGCGGCGCCCTCTGCGTATCCTCTTGTACGCACAGGGCGCCGAGGCACATTCTGTTCTTTCATGTATTGGATTGTTGAAGTGGCTCTGATCTTTGGGGAAATACACTTGTTTACAGTTGTGTACAGATCAATGTCAGAGCTACTTACAAAACACAACACAATAATGATAAAGGCAACACAAATGGAAACTGTTCCCGTTGTGCGTTCGAGAGTAGATTCACACATGCCCCGAGAGACGGTTGTTTTAATGTGTGTGTCTGAAGTGTAACTCACATCAAAGCAAGATGGTGGGTTGTGTGTTTGAGAGGTTGTGTGCTTTTGTGTGTGTTAAGTTTTTTCTCTGTGTGTTTGTCGCAGCCTGCAAGTGCAACAGTCACGCAAATGTTTGCCAAGTTCTAACTGGAAAATGCTTCTGTACGACCAAAGGGATCAAAGGAGACCAGTGCCAGCTGTGAGTACAACATACATATATACATATACACACACATACATACACACATACATACATATACATATGCATACATATACACATACACGCACACACATATACACACACATTCATCGCACACACACACCCTTTTGGAGAAGACTATGAAATGAAACATGTTGAACAGTTTATTGAGGAGTATTAGTGAAACGTCTCCACGGCAACAGACGACGGCGGCTCCGGCCTCTGCGGCGGCGGCTCCAGCCTCTGCAGCGGCGGCTCCGGCCTCTGCAGCGGCGGCTCCGGCCTCTGCGGCGGCGGCTCCGGCCTCTGCGGCGGCGGCTCCGGCCTCTGCGGCGGCGGCTCCGGCCTCTGCGGCGTAAACAAGAATCACAAACTCATTATTTAAAAGGAAATAGATTGAATCCAAATGTGTCTGACTCGTCCAATGACAGCGGAGACGGAGACGAAGGACTTCCTGCCTCTTTGACCTCCGCCATAACTCTCGGTACATTACGGTATTAAAAGCTGCGGCCGCTTTGTGCTTAACCAGCGGGAACGTGGCGCCCTGAGTGAAAGTGGCGCTCTGAGACGGCGTCCTGCACCGAGGGGATCCACCGCCGTCAGCACAAACAGAGAAGGGGGCGGGGCCTGACAGACGTGTTTAAGCTGTCAATCATTAAGCTATTAAATTCTCCACATAAAGATGAAGAGAGAGATCCCAGTGTGGCCATGAATCTGTCACAGCACAACCTTTTCAAATGCTAATACTGAGACGGTTATTTCACTACATCAATAATCACAGCGGCTCGCCATTTATTATCTACCACTTTACTAGGATTCCTCTGGTCTCTCTCTGGTCTCTCTCTGGTCTCTCTCTCTGGTCTCTCTGGTCTCTCTCTGGTCTCTCTCTGGTCTCTCTCTGGTCTCTCTCTCTGGTCTCTCTCTCTGGTCTCTCTCTCTCTGGTCTCTCTCTCTCTGGTCTCTCTCTCTGGTCTCTCTCTCTGGCCTCTCTCTCTCTGGTCTCTTTCTCTGGTCTCTCTCTCTCTGGCCTCTCTCTGGTCTCTCTCTGGTCTCTCTCTGGTCTCTCTCTGGTCTCTCTCTCTGGTCTCTCTGGTCTCTCTCTGGTCTCTCTCTGGTCTCTCTCTGGTCTCTCTCTCTGGTCTCTCTCTCTGGTCTCTCTCTCTCTGGTCTCTCTCTCTCTGGTCTCTCTCTCTGGTCTCTCTCTCTGGCCTCTCTCTCTCTGGTCTCTTTCTCTGGTCTCTCTCTCTCTGGTCTCTCTCTCTCTGGCCTCTCTGGTCTCTCTCTGGTCTTTCTCTCTGGTCTCTCTCTCTGGTCTCTCTCTCTCTGGCCTGTCTCTCTGGCCTCTCTCTCTGGTCTCTCTCTCTGGTCTCTCTCTCTGGTCTCTCTCCCTCTGGTCTCTCTCTGGCCTGTCTCTCTGGCCTCTCTCTCTGGTCTCTCTCTCTCTGGTCTCTCTCTCTCTGGTCTCTCTCTCTCTGGTCTCTCTCTCTCTGGTCTCTCTCTCTCTGGTCTCTCTCTCTCTGGTCTCTCTCTCTCTGGTCTCTCTCTCTGGCCTCTCTCTCTGGCCTCTCTCTCTGGTCTCTCTCTCTGGTCTCTCTCTCTGGCCTCTCTCTGGTCTCTCTCTCTGGCCTCTCTCTCTGGTCTCTCTGGCCTCTCTCTCTGGTCTCTCTCTCTGGTCTCTCTCGCTGGTCTCTCTCGCTGGTCTCTCTCTGGTTTCTCTCTCTCTGGTCTCTCTCTGGTCTCTCTCTGTTCTTTCTCTGGTCTCTCTGGTCTCTCTCTCTCTGGCCTCTCTCTCTGGTCTCTCTCTCTGGTCTCTCTCTCTCTGGCCTCTCTCTCTGGTCTCTCTCTCTGGTCTCTCTCTCTGGCCTCTCTCTCTCTGGTCTCTCTCTCTCTGGTCTCTCTCTCTCTGGTCTCTCTCTCTCTGGTCTCTCTCTCTCTGGTCTCTCTCTCTCTGGCCTCTCTCTCTGGCCTCTCTCTCTGGCCTCTCTCTCTGGCCTCTCTCTCTGGCCTCTCTCTCTGGTCTCTCTCTCTGGTCTCTCTCTCTCTGGTCTCTCTCTGGTCTCTCTCTGGTCTCTCTCTCTGGTCTCTCTCTCTGGTCTCTCTCTCTGGTCTCTCTCTGTTCTTTCTCTGGTCTCTCTGGTCTCTCTCTGGTCTCTCTCTTCCAGCCTTAAACCATATCACAGTTAGGTTCTAAAAATAACCTGCCATGAATACACTAACTGATAAACATGGAACCACTGTATGGACCACTGTATGGACCACTGCATGGACCACTGTATGGACCACTGTATGGACCACTGCATGGACCACTGTATGGACCACTGTATGGACCACTGTATGGACCACTGTATGGACCACTGTATGGACCACTGTATGGACCACTGTATGGACCACTGTATGGACCACTGCATGGACCACTGTATGGACCACTGTATGGACCACTGTATGGACCACTGTATGGACCACTGTATGGACCACTGTATGGACCACTGCATGGACCACTGTATGGACCACTGTATGGACCACTGTATGGACCACTGTATGGACCACTGTATGGACCACTGTATGGACCACTGCATGGACCACTGTATGGACCACTGTATGGACCACTGTATGGACCACTGTATGGACCACTGTATGGACCACTGTATGGACCACTGTATGGACCACTGTATGGACCACTGTATGGACCACTGTATGGACCACTGTATGGACCACTGTGATAGCTGTTATTGATTGACTGCGGAACCTTCCGCAGTCAACCATTGGTTTTGTATTTCTTTATTCCGTCATTTTTTTTGACACGTTTCACAGCTTTCACATTTTCAACAATTTCCACAAGTTATACATCAAAACGTTCCACATGTTTGGGAGATTATTGCTATTACTTTTGGGACTTCAGCGATTTCCGGTTTTTCCGCAATCGGACAAAAATCTGCATTGAGAATTCTGCAATGCATTTTAATAGGCCCATGCATTTTAATAGGACTTCAGCTCTTTCAGACATTTCTACAGTTTCAATGATTCAACAGTTTCAAGGATTCAACAGTTTCAAGGATTTCAGCAGTTTCAAGATTTCAAGAGTTTCAAGGACTTCAACAGTTTCAAGGACTTCAGCAGTTTCAAGGACTTCAGCAGTTTCAAGGACTTCAGCAGTTTCAAGGACTTCAGTGTAATCATGCAACCTAATAGGGTTTTTTCCATGTAAACCAGTATAATGCAACTTAATAGGGATTTTTCCATGTAAACCAGTATAATGCAACTTAATAGGGTTTTTTTCATGTAAACCAGTATAATGCAACTTAATAGGGTTTTTTTTCATGTAAACCAGTATAATGCAACTTAATGGGGATTTTTCCATGTAAACCAGTATAATGCAACTTAATAGGGATTTTTACATGTAAACCAGTATAATGCAACTTAATAGGTTTTTTACATGTAAACCAGTATAATGCAACTTAATAGGGTTTTTTCCATGTAAACCAGTATAATGCAACTTAATAGGATTTTTCCATGTAAACCAGTATAATGCAACTTAATAGGGGTTTTTACATGTAAACCAGTATAATGCAACTTAATAGGGTTTTTTCCATGTAAACCAGTATAATGCAACTTAATAGGGTTTTTTCCATGTAAACCAGTACAATGCAACTTAATAGGGATTTTTCCATGTAAACCAGTATAATGCAACTTAATAGGGTTTTTTACATGTAAACCAGTATAATGCAACTTAATGGGGATTTTTCCATGTAAACCAGTATTATGCAACTTAATAGGGATTTTTCCATGTAAACCAGTATAATGCAACTTAATAGGGATTTTTCCTTGTAAACCAGTATAATGCAACTTAATAGGGTTTTTTTCATGTAAACCAGTATAATGCAACTTAATGGGGATTTTTCCATGTAAACCAGTATTATGCAACTTAATAGGGATTTTTCCATGTAAACCAGTATAATGCAACTTAATAGGGTTTTTACATGTAAACCAGTATAATGGAACTTAATAGGGGTTTTTACATGTAAACCAGTATAATGGAACTTAATAGGGGTTTTTACATGTAAACCAGTATAATGCAACTTAATAAGGATTTTTACATGTAAACCACTATAATGTAACCTATAGGGGTTTTTACATGTAAACCAGTATAAAGCAACTTAATAGGGATTTGTACATGTAAACCAGTATAATGCAACCTAATAGGGATTTTTCCATGTAAACCAGTATAATGCAACTTAATAGAGATTTTTCCATTGTAAACCAGTATAATGCAACTTAATAGGGATTTTTCCATGTAAACCCAGTATAATGCAACCTAATAGGGATTTTTCCATGTAAACCAGTATAATGCAACCTAATTAGGGATTTTTCCATGTAAACCAGTATAATGCAACCTAATAGGTTGCATTATACCACCAGACCAAGACCCAAACGAAGACTCAGACCACCACCAGATAATGACCACAGACCAGGTTTCCTTAGTTACAGGAACCAAATTGTTTCAGCGGTGAGGGGATTTTTCAGTTTCAAGGACACTTTCAATACATTCAGTAGTTTCAAGGATTTCAACTGTTTAAGAATTTAACCAGTTTCAAGGATAACAGGAGGTTCAAGGATTTCAGGAGTTTCCACACTTTCAACAGTTTCCAGGTTTAAAAAAGTTTTCAAGGATTTTCAGGAGTTTCAATGTTTCAACAGTTTCAAGGATTTCAGGAGTTTAAAGGTTTCAACAATTTCAAGGACTTCAGGAGTTTCAAATATCTATCAAGTATTTTAACAGTTTCAAGGCCTTTTAAAGGATTTCAAGGATTTTTTTTAGCAGATTTCCACATTAGATCTGTTCCGCAGTCAATCGCAATGGCTTCAGCCATTGCAAGTTTCTAGTTAAACTTGTAAATGTCACTTCCTGGCAGATGAATGACACACAACTACTTTTAGCACAAGTGAAAAGATAAACAAACGGACTCTGGAAAACACCGGAGCCACTTCCTTTGTTTCCCGCCGGAGTAAAGGGAATGACTTTGCATCATGATAAACGGAGTAAAGGGAATGACTTTGCATCATGATAAACGGAGTAAAGGGAATGACTTTGCATGATGATAAACGGCCGCTTTCATTTCCTCCGCCAGATAGAACTGTGTTTGGTACAATTCAACGCAATAGTGGGATAACAGGTGGATAACGGCCGCGGCAAATGGCTTCTGTACGACTGACAAAAGCAGAACGACACACACACGGCACACACACACACACACACACGACACACTCACGGTACACACACACACACGCAGACACACACACACACAAACGGCACAAACACACACACAAACGGCACGCACACACTGTACACACACACGACACACTCACGGTACACACACGCACACTAGTTATTATAGTCTTGTGCTGCTCCTCTTTCTTACTGTGGGACAAAAACAATCTATTATATTAATCATCTCATGGATTTTAAAGTTAATTCTTTCTCATTTATGACGCTAAAGTTTGAGAATTTAGACTTGCTTTTTGAACTCTGAAGTTTGAGATTTTAATGCAGTGTTTAGCATCACAAGATAAGTGAACAATACCTCCTCCTCCTGCTCTGTACCCGGTGCTGCAACACTGAAATCTCCTCCTCCTGCTCTGTACCCGGTGCTGCAACACTGAAATCTCCTCCTCCTGCTCTGTACCCGGTGCTGCAACACTGAAACCTCCTCCTCCTGCTCTGTAACCGGTGCTGCAACACTGAAACCTCCTCCTCCTGCTCTGTACCCGGTGCTGCAACACTGAAACCTCCTCCTCCTGCTCTGTAACCGGTGCTGCAACACTGAAATCTCCTCCTCCTGCTCTGTAACCGGTGCTGCAACACTGAAACCTCCTCCTCCTGCTCTGTACCCGGTGCTGCAACACTGAAATCTCCTCCTCCTGCTCTGTAACCGGTGCTGCAACACTGAAACCTCCTCACTCTGGACCAATAAAGAATCTCTTCATCTAAATAATTTTCATGCAAAGTGAAGGAACACAGTCCATGTTTGTGTGACCACATTAGTCCAGAGTGCTGCTGTTGTCCTATTGTAATCTCATTTTAGGAATCCCATTACATGCAATCACTAACCCCCCCTCCCTCTCTCTCTGCCCCCCCCCTCCCTCTCTCTCTGCCTGCCCCCCCCCTCCCTCTCTCTCTGCCCCCCCCCCCTCTCTCTGCACCCCCCTCCCCTCTCTCTCTGCCCCCCCCCCCTTTAACAAAGACCAACCCACACACAGGTCTATGAACCGCGGGCGCCACACACGAGCGCAGCTGCGAGCGCCATTAGGACCTCACTATAACGGCCGCAGTAATGAAACCTGCATCACAAGAATAGAAATGATTTATTTAAAAAAACACAGACAAAGGAGAGAATATTTCTGATGCAGCTCTGTTATGTTAGTGCCATGTGTGTGTGTGTGTGTGTGTGTGTGTGTGTGCTGCAGGTGCGAGAGGTGAGAAGTGTGTGTGTGTTTTCTCCCATTGATGTGTTTAATGTGCACTGAGATGGAGCAGTCTGTAGATCGCATTAAGATGGAGTATAGTGGGTCTGGCTGTGGTCCAGGTGTGTGCGTCTGTGTGCGTCTGTTTGCAGCTGGAGATGAAATTAAGATAAAAAGGAGACTTTATACACCTCAGATGAAGTGTGCGTCTGTATGTGGGCGTGCAGGTTGTGTTTTCTTCTTCTTCTGCGGCTGCCGTGGCCATCTGTAAATGTCAGGCAGTAGAAAGAGCCCAGGAGTGGTGTTGTGTGCGGTTCAGAAGCTGGTGTTGTGTGCGGTTCAGAAGCTGGTGTTGTGTGCGGTTCAGAAGCTGGTGTTGTGTGCGGTTCAGAAGCTGGTGTTGTGTGCGGTTCAGAGGCTGGTGTTGTGTGCGGTTCAGAGGCTGGTGTTGTGTGCGGTTCAGAAGCTGGTGTTGTGTGCGGTTCAGAAGCTGGTGTTGTGTGCGGTTCAGAAGCTGGTGTTGTGTGCGGTTCAGAAGCTGGTGTTGTGTGCGGTTCAGAAGCTGGTGTTGTGTGCGGTTCAGAAGCTGGTGTTGTGTGCGGTTCAGAAGCTGGTGTTGTGTGCGGTTCAGAAGCTGGTGTTGTGTGCGGTTCAGAAGCTGGTGTTGTGTGCGGTTCAGAAGCTGGTGTTGTGTGCGGTTCAGAAGCTGGTGTTGTGTGCGGTTCAGAAGCTGGTGGTGTGTGCGGTTCAGAGGCTGGTGTTGTGTGCGGTTCAGACGCTGGTGTTGTGTGCGGTTCAGAAGCTGGTGTTGTGTGCGGTTCAGAGGCTGGTGTTGTGTGCGGTTCAGAAGCTGGTGGTGTGTGTGGTTCAGAAGCTGGTGTTGTGTGCGGTTCAGAGGCTGGTGTTGTGTGCGGTTCAGAAGCTGGTGTTGTGTGCGGTTCAGAAGCTGGTGTTGTGTGCGGTTCAGAGGCTGGTGTTGTGTGCGGTTCAGAGGCTGGTGTTGTGTGCGGTTCAGAAGCTGGTGTTGTGTGCGGTTCAGAAGCTGGTGTTGTGTGCGGTTCAGAAGCTGGTGTTGTGTGCGGTTCAGAAGCTGGTGTTGTGTGCGGTTCAGAAGCTGGTGTTGTGTGCGGTTCAGAAGCTGGTGTTGTGTGCGGTTCAGAAGCTGGTGGTGTGTGTGGTTCAGAAGCTGGTGTTGTGTGCGGTTCAGAGGCTGGTGTTGTGTGCGGTTCAGAAGCTGGTGTTGTGTGCGGTTCAGAAGCTGGTGTTGTGTGCGGTTCAGAAGCTGGTGTTGTGTGCGGTTCAGAAGCTGGTGTTGTGTGCGGTTCAGAAGCTGGTGTGTGCGGTTCAGAAGCTGGTGTTGTGTGTGGTTCAGAAGCTGGTGGTGTGTGCGGTTCAGAAGCTGGTGTTGTGTGTGGTTCAGAAGCTGGTGTTGTGTGCGGTTCAGAGGCTGGTGTTGTGTGCGGTTCAGAAGCTGGTGTTGTGTGCGGTTCAGAAGCTGGTGTTGTGTGCGGTTCAGAAGCTGGTGTGTGCGGTTCAGAAGCTGGTGTTGTGTGCGGTTCAGAAGCTGGTGTTGTGTGCGGTTCAGAAGCTGGTGTTGTGTGCGGTTCAGAAGCTGGTGTTGTGTGTGGTTCAGAAGCTGGTGTTGTGTGCGGTTCAGAAGCTGGTGTTGTGTGCGGTTCAGAAGCTGGTGTTGTGTGCGGTTCAGAGGCTGGTGTTGTGTGCGGTTCAGAAGCTGGTGTTGTGTGCGGTTCAGAAGCTGGTGTTGTGTGCGGTTCAGAGGCTGGTGTTGTGTGCGGTTCAGAAGCTGGTGTTGTGTGCGGTTCAGAAGCTGGTGTTGTGTGCGGTTCAGAAGCTGGTGTTGTGTGCGGTTCAGAAGCTGGTGTTGTGTGCGGTTCAGAAGCTGGTGTTGTGTGCGGTTCAGAAGCTGGTGTTGTGTGCGGTTCAGAAGCTGGTGTTGTGTGCGGTTCAGAAGCTGGTGGTGTGTGTGGTTCAGAAGCTGGTGTTGTGTGCGGTTCAGAGGCTGGTGTTGTGTGCGGTTCAGAAGCTGGTGTTGTGTGCGGTTCAGAAGCTGGTGTTGTGTGCGGTTCAGAAGCTGGTGTTGTGTGCGGTTCAGAAGCTGGTGTTGTGTGCGGTTCAGAAGCTGGTGTTGTGTGCGGTTCAGAAGCTGGTGTTGTGTGCGGTTCAGAAGCTGGTGTTGTGTGCGGTTCAGAAGCTGGTGTTGTGTGCGGTTCAGAGCGGTTCAGAGGCTGGTGTGTGTGCGGTTCAGAAGCTGGTGTTGTGTGCGGTTCAGAAGCTGGTGTTGTGTGCGGTTCAGAAGCTGGTGTTGTGTGCGGTTCAGAAGCTGGTGTTGTGTGCGGTTCAGAAGCTGGTGTTGTGTGCGGTTCAGAAGCTGGTGTTGTGTGCGGTTCAGAAGCTGGTGTTGTGTGCGGTTCAGAAGCTGGTGTTGTGTGTGGTTCAGAAGCTGGTGTTGTGTGCGGTTCAGAGGCTGGTGTTGTGTGCGGTTCAGAGGCTGGTGTTGTGTGCGGTTCAGAAGCTGGTGTTGTGTGCGGTTCAGAGGCTGGTGTTGTGTGCGGTTCAGAAGCTGGTGTTGTGTGCGGTTCAGAAGCTGGTGTTGTGTGCGGTTCAGAAGCTGGTGTTGTGTGCGGTTCAGAGGCTGGTGTTGTGTGCGGTTCAGAAGCTGGTGTTGTGTGCGGTTCAGAAGCTGGTGTTGTGTGCGGTTCAGAAGCTGGTGTTGTGTGCGGTTCAGAAGCTGGTGTTGTGTGCGGTTCAGAAGCTGGTGTTGTGTGCGGTTCAGAAGCTGGTGTTGTGTGCGGTTCAGAAGCTGGTGTTGTGTGCGGTTCAGAAGCTGGTGGTGTGTGTGGTTCAGAAGCTGGTGTTGTGTGCGGTTCAGAGGCTGGTGTTGTGTGCGGTTCAGAAGCTGGTGTTGTGTGCGGTTCAGAAGCTGGTGTTGTGTGCGGTTCAGAAGCTGGTGTTGTGTGCGGTTCAGAAGCTGGTGTTGTGTGCGGTTCAGAAGCTGGTGTTGTGTGCGGTTCAGAAGCTGGTGTTGTGTGCGGTTCAGAAGCTGGTGTTGTGTGCGGTTCAGAAGCTGGTGTTGTGTGTGTCTAACCTGCGCTTGTTGACTCACTTTAAAGAATTAGACCCTCTGCTTTTTGCCTCAGAGGCCGGGTCTGTTTCTGCTTCTTGTTTACACTGTTTTGGCAAATTCACAGCAAGAAGTCCATTCTAAAAAAAGTAGCCTATAGTTAAATAAATAGATAATGCTGTGCTAATAATTCAATTTTCAGATACATTTTTTTATTAGGACAATATATGATTTGTTTTTGCTGTGTCAACTCTATTTTACATGATTTTTTAACTACACTTAGACTTTATTGATCCACAGGAAGTTGTCTCTGTGTCTTTCAAAGTATTTCACAATAAAATAACATTAACGTAACAAGCTGAAAATAATGATTATAAGACTTTACTTTTGTAGATCTACGTCTTTAAGATAAACCTTTTGATATCGTTTCAATACATTAAAACTATTAAGGAGGATTTCCCCAAATTACACACACACACATACAAATACACACACTCGCTCACACGCACACACACAGACACGTACACACATACATGCACACGCACACATACACAGACACACACATGCTCACACACAGACACACACTCACTCACACACAGACACACACTCGCTCACACACACACACACATGCTCACACACAGACACACACTCGCTCACACACAGACACACACTCACTCACACACAGACACACACATGCTCACACACAGACACACACATGCTCACACACAGACACACACTCGCTCACACACAGACACACACTCGCTCACACACAGACACACACTCGCTCACACGCACACCACAGTTTATCACAGATGCAGCGTGAAGCTTCGATGCTGATATCGCTCCATCTTTAGAGAACATTTCAAAACAAGTATTTTTAGTTTTAGTGTAACGTGTGTGTTGTGTGTGTCTCGTGTGTTGTGTGTGTAGTGTGTGTCACGTGTGTCGTCACATCAGCCACAGTCATCACCACCTCCTCAGTGACATTCAGAGGCTTCTGTCCAGAACGCCACGCTCCCTCCGCCTCTGACTAGTTTTATTCTACCTTTAACAGCAGTTTGTGAGTTTTATGAGATCTACAACATGTAAACAAACATTTGTGGGTGTACGGGGGTGTCGACACAGACACAGGTACATATAGACACAGGTACACATTAGGGCTGGGCAAAAAATCGATTTAATCGATTTATCGATTTTGTAGCTTAAAAGGATTTTTATTTTGCAAACTCGAGTTTTTTTTTCACCAAATTTTTTTTCTGAGTTTTTTGCGTTTCGTCCTTGTGGGTTACCGTAGAGCGTTATGAGCCAGCCCCCTCCGCCGCGTAAACACAGTCAAAACAAGAATGGCAGCGTGTAGTAGAGCAGGGGTTCCCAAAGTCTTTAGCCCGCGACCCCCATCATAAATGCCCTGCTAACCCTCCTCAGCAGAAGTGGAGCGCATTTCTTGCGGCTCGCCCTCACTGTTCTCATACCGCGGTAAAGTGGGCCGGCTTTCCGGAGTCAGCGGTAAAGAGGTCCGCACATTAAAAGCGGGCGGCCGCTTTCTGCTGTTACTTTATGCGGTTCATCCCCGCGGCTTCTCTTTCCAAAGTTACTGTCAGTAAAGGCATAGACCGGCCACCCGCTTTTAATGTGCGGACCTCTTTACCTTTGACTCCGAAAAGCCGGGCCTCTTTAACGCGCTGTTCTACCGCTGTCCTTTCTCCCTCCTTTGCCCTCTCTCCCTCTCTTCGCACCATCAGCCTGACCCCTGATACAAGTGACTTTTCTCTCCCTCCGCTGCCCTCTCTCCCTCCTCTGCCCTCTCTCCCTCCGCTGCCCTCTCTCCCTCCGCTGCCCTCTCTCCCTCCGCTGCCCTCTCTCCCTCCGCTGCCCTCTCTCCCTCCGCTGCCCTCTCTCCCTCCGCTGCCCTCTCTCCCTCCGCTGCCCTCTCTCCCTCCGCTGCCCTCTCTCCCTCCGCTGCCCTCTCTCCCTCCTCTGCCCTCTCTCCCTCCTCTGCCCTCTCTCCCTCCGCTGCCCTCTCTCCCTCCGCTGCCCTCTCTCCCTCCGCTGCCCTCTCTCCCTCCTCTGCCCTCTCTCCCTCCGCTGCCCTCTCTCCCTCCGCTGGCCTCTCTCCTCCGCTGCCCTCTCTCCCTCCTCTGCCCTCTCTCCCTCCTCTGCCCTCTCTCCCTCCGCTGCCCTCTCTCCCTCCTCTGCCCTCTCTCCCTCCGCTGGCCTCTCTTCCCTCCGCTGCCCTCTCCCTCCTCTGCCCTCTCTCCCTCTCTTCGCACCATCAGCCTGACCCCTGATACAAGTGACTTTTCTCCCCCTCCGGGTTTTTCTGTTGTGGATATTAACCACGTTTCATTTTAAAGCAGGTATTATTTATTTGTAGCCTCCAAACACCTTTAGTTTTAGCAAACAACAGTAGGACACGCTTTGTCGCTGCGCATGATGTGAGCTGTGTTACGTGATGATTTTGATTGACGCTGCAATGACTGGGACAAAATTACTAACGTTATTAAAATATATTATAGTCTCCAAACACAATTTAACAAGTAGTCCTTTTGAATCAAATCAAATGCTAAATAAATATTTAAGGGCTTTATATTTGCTCAAAAAAAAAAAAATCTTTTTTTTTTGTTTGTGTAGAAATCATCATGCGACCCCCCCAGGGGTTCCCGCGACCCCCCGGGGGGGTTTTAACAGGGGGGGCTTGTTAAAAGTATTAGATGCGAGGTACAGTACGTTGTCCCCAGTCGCAAGTATTTCGCCGATGTAGCGCTGCCTCACCTGTACAATACAACTCGTGAAAAGATCCGCGGTGAGCTGGGGGAGATGACGTTTTACTCAGCCACCACGGACCTGTGGTTGTGGACAGGCTCATCTTTCTTGCAAAAAATGCTTAGAATGAGCATGCACAATATTTCAGAGATCTAATGTTTTGTTGTTAAAGATAAAAGTTTACATTTGTTTATCCTTTGATAAGTAGTTAGTTAGTAGCTATATGTCTGCCACAGGCATGTTTAATTTTTTTTATATTCACATTATGCTGAGAGGCTAAGAGAAGAGTTTATTTTATTTTTTATTGTAATGTTATATGTTACAAAATATGTAGTTATCTGATTTCTTAATCAGAAAATTTAAGCTACTGTGAAGTTGATGTTGCACTTTTGCTTAAACCTGGGTTAAAGCTTGAAATTGTTGAATAACAGAGCCTCATTTACTTGCATTTTAACTCTTGAGGACAATCACAGCAATAAATTTGCACTTTTGACAATATATCTGATGTCTCCAGTCATTTTTAAGTGCATTGGGGAAAAAAAATCGAAAATCGAATCGAAACTTGAATTTTTCTTTTAAAAATCGGAGATTTTTTTTTTAGGCAAAATCGCCCAGCCCTAGTACACATAGACACAGGTACATATAGACACAGGTACATACAGACACAGGTACATACAGACACAGGTACATACAGACACAGGTACATACAGACACAGGTACATATAGACACAGGTACATATAGACACAGGTACATATAGACACAGGTACATATAGACACAGGTACATATAGACACAGGTACATACAGACACAGGTACACACAGACACAGAGACACAGGTACACATAGACACAGGTACATACAGACACAGGTACATACAGACACAGAGACACAGGTACACATAGACACAGGTACATACAGACACAGGTACATACAGACACAGGTACATACAGACACAGAGACACAGGTACACATAGACACAGGTACATACAGACACAGGTACATACAGACACAGGTACATACAGACACAAGTACATACAGACACAGGTACATACAGACACAGGTACATACAGACACAGGTACATACAGACACAGGTACATACAGACACAGGTACATACAGACACAGGTACATACAGACACAGGTACATACAGACACAGAGACACAGGTACATACAGACACAGGTACATACAGACACAGGTACATACAGACACAGGTACATATAGACACAGGTACATATAGACACAGGTACATATAGACACAGGTACATACAGACACAGGTACATACAGACACAGGTACATACAGACACAGGTACATACAGACACAGGTACATACAGACACAGGTACATACAGACACAGAGACACAGGTACATACAGACACAGGTACATACAGACACAGAGACACAGGTACATACAGACACAGAGACACAGGTACACATAGACAGAGAGACACAGGTACACATAGACATAGGTACATATAGACAAAGGTACATACAGACACAGGTGAAACACATCCGGGCGGGGCAGACATCAAGAGGGAAACAGGAAGTCAAACTAAAACCAATCCACAGAGAAGATGTCAAAATAAAACCCACAGGTGACAGTCGTGCCCAGATTCTCTGCTCTGAAAAATGAATAAATGAGGTCGAAGCCTCGGAGTCGGGGTCGGGGGGGACTGAACCCTCTGTGTCCTGTTTCCACCGGCAGCACTCGCCACTTCATGTCCACACTTTACTTTGTTCTGAAAAGCAGATGATTTGATCTGCTCTGATGAAGTGTTCGCTCCTAGCTTCAGACTGTGCCTTTAGACCTCACAGAGAACCTTTCTTTTACTGTTTTTTATCCTGAAGTTGTTTCGTAATTTCTAAACTCTCCGTCTTGTGTTGGTTCAGTCGGTAATGGGGCTAAGTGGGAGCTAAAAGCACTCTGTAATAAACTTGGACCAAAACAAAATTGAACCTTTTTTCCAGGTTTGAAATGTCGCTGCGGCTTTTACTCCTTATTAAAAGTTTCTTCAAGTGAAAATTGTGTGAAGTTAAATTTCAGTTACAAAAAAATACTCACTGCACGAATCTGAAATCTCATCATCAGTCTTTCCAAAGGTCACACCATCCATCCATCCATCCATGTTCTTCCCTTTAATCCATTTCTGGGTCAGGGGGGTGGCAGTCAGAGATGCCACCCAAGTCTCATAGCACCAGCCCCTCACTGACCCTCTGCAGGTGGTGAGTCCACAGGAGGACGGCTGCTCTCTGAGTGTGAGCATAGCCTTGATCTTTCAGTGGGGGCTTTGGGCAAAGTGGGGTTAAGTGTCTTGCCCAAGGACACAACGACAGCAGTCATCAGTGGGAGCCGGTGGAGAAGGTGCAGAGGTGGGAAGGTCACACCATGAGAGAAAAAAGATTAGAATATTTGGTGAAGCTGGTGTTTACCGTGAAAGTCAGTTACTTTTCAAATTGTGAAGAAGCAGTGGTTAGCCCCGCCCCCGCTGCTTCCTGATTGGTCGAAATTAATTCAAATCCTTGAGGACCTTTGTCATTGATTTTAAATGTTCTCTTGTTGTAAATCTTACTGGAGGAGAACGGACTATTTTAAATTCAGAACTTGTTCGACTATAAACGGCACCAGCTACAAAAAATGTACATTATTGAATAAAAGCAGGTTTTCATGAGATGTAAAACTAAACCAACAGATGATGGAGCAAAACAACGACTTTTAACTGGTCACAACATAATTTAATGCACTTGTGATGATCAAACATTTCCAATAAAACTAAATAAGTCCATAATCACAAATAAATAAGTCCTGTGTATTTCTCTGCACTTCCTCTTGTCTGATGTCTGCTGTTCACATAAACACAGCGGGAAGCAGGAATGTTATCTCTGGACATAAACAGCTGATAGAGCTGTGTCCTTCCTGCACCACAGGGGGCGCTCTAACACAATACAAAATCACACATTGGCTGCAAACTGGCTTGAAGCTCAGCAAGTTTTGTATATTATCAGAATATTAGTTGGAAAATACTTAGTCATTCTCACTAACTCAGTGCATGATAGTACTACGTCCCATGGTCAGAAATCTACATTGTTCTGAAGTTAAATCCACTGTAGGTTTGTGACATCACCTCTAACACAACTGGATGCTTCCTCCATGTTTTCGAGGTGAAGCGGGAGCTGCCCTGAGCTGTGTTTTGGGTTTTACACTTTCAAATCCTTATGATTGTTTACCTGACTCGACGTGATGTAGTTTTGCTTAATTTGCGAATTCAGACGAGTTTTGGCATCGCACATAATCAACCATAAATTTACATAAGTTGTTTCCTCCAAGGATTTAGGGATTAGCACTTTGCTGTTGCCACTCGGGCTGATCAGGTACATAACGTCGTAGTGCGTGTCGCTGCACTGCTTTGATAGAAGAAAGTTTAGCAAAAAAAAGCTAATTAACTTCAACAAACTATCAGATTATTGTTTTTGTCAGAAGTTGAGGCTGACGAGGCGCCAACAGTGGGAGCTAATGCGCTGGCACTTGGCACCTTCTACTTCTGATAAGACTTTTTTTCCTACTTCTGCTCTCAATCTGTTTGTGCTCATCTCCTCTCTCATCTCGCCTTGTTTTTCTTTTTGCAGATGCGACTCTGAAAACCGTTACCTTGGCAATCCACTCCGAGGGACCTGCTACTGTGAGTAAACCCTGGATTGTCCTCCTCCTCCTCCTCCTTGTTCCCCAGCCTTGATTATTCTTGGCTATTCTCTTTCAATCTCTTTCTTTCCCCGACTTTTCCACTTCCGCAACAGGCAGATGGAGCTTTTCAGCACTTTGGCAGGAAACCAAAGGCGCTCGCTTGTTCGCCGACAGAATGACTTGTCGTGGTGAAATGTCAAGTGCATCACGAGTAGCGCCCGAGTGAGCTAATCAAGGAGGAGCAAAAACCAGTCTCCACTTGCCACGTCCCAATCACCCACTCGTTAATCCACGCTGAAAAGTTGGATAAATGTTAGTGTTGAGAGTGGATAAACGGGTGCTCTGCATGTTTACGTGCTCGGAGCCACAGCGGTGACCTTCACGCTGCTGCGCCGCTTGGTAATTTGTTGTCTCAGTTTTGACGCTCTCCTGACTGGAAACACAAGCCGTTTATTGACTCCTTTCCCAAAATATCATCCGTGATGTGAGCGAAGGAGAAAAGCAGAGGGGCAGAGAGGCAGAGAGGCAGAGAGGCAGAGAGGCAGAGGGGCAGAGGGGCAGAGGGGCAGAGAGGCAGAGAGGCAGAGAGGCAGAGAGGCAGAGAGGCAGAGAGGCAGAGAGGCAGAGAGGCAGAGAGGCAGAGAGGCAGAGAGGCAGAGGGGCAGAGAGGCAGAGAGGCAGAGAGGCAGAGAGGCAGAGAGGCAGAGAGGCAGAGAGGCAGAGAGGCAGAGAGGCAGAGAGGCAGAGAGGCAGAGAGGCTGAGAGGCTGAGAGGCTGAGAGGCTGAGAGGCTGAGAGGCTGAGAGGCTGAGAGGCTGAGAGGCTGAGAGGCTGAGAGGCTGAGAGGCTGAGACTTTTAAACATGCTGCGTTTTATTACTTGGATAATTTTGGGAATTTGAGAATGTGTTTGGGGTCCAGATTGTGACCAATCACAGCGGACCACTGGCCCCCACTTTCTTGAGAAAAGCCACAGGTCTGAGGTTAGCACAGACAGGTCTGAGGTTAGCACAGACAGGTCTGAGGTTAGCACAGACAGGTCTGTGGTTAGCACAGACAGGTCTGAGGTTAGCACAGACAGGTCTGAGGTTATCACAGACAGGTCTGTGGTTAGCACAGACAGGTCTGTGGTTAGCACAGACAGGTCTGTGGTTAGCACAGACAGGTCTGTGGTTAGCACAGACAGGTCTGTGGTTAGCACAGACAGGTCAACAATGTTCATATTGTGAGACGCTAGCTCCGTAAACAGTTAGCACAGGCTGAGTGGCTGGGGGGTCGGGTAGTGGGGGGAGGGGAGCAGAAAGAGCGAGGCCAGCGCTCACATCCGGAAATGTCACAAAGTGAGTTAGTGCAGCGTTAAAAGAAATAAGATGTGACTGAGACGAGGCATTCGCTACAAATACTGCATATATTTGTATTTGATCATTTCTAGTTTTGATGTTTTTCAGTCATGTTCATGGGAGACTTCTCTTTACAATTCTATTAGAAATACAGAAACTGGTAAAAGACTGAGGCCCAAATGACTCAATTCTGAAAACGATCAAATTAAAGGGTATTTTGAGGCCCAGACAAAGTTGTGATCTGGGGAATATTTACAATGTGTTCAAAGCCACAGATGTAAACTTATACTTATTATGTAAACTTATACTTATTATGTAAACTTATACTTATTATGTAAACTTATACTTATTATGTAAACTTATACTTATTATGTAAACTTATACTTATTATGTAAACTTATACTTATTATGTAAACTTATACTTATTATGTAAACTTATACTTATTATGTAAACTTATACTTATTATGTAAACTTATACTTATTATGTAAACTTATACTTATTATGTAAACTTGAATACTACTGACTTTCACCGTGACAGTTTCC